GCAGGTTCACATTAAAAGCCTCCAAGTTAAAAAGCATGGAGGACAAGGGACAGGAAGGCAAAAAAATAAATAAATCCCATCACATTTACTCAAGATTGAATTCCCAAATGAGTAAGCATTTTGTGCTGAACATTATAGTATGAAATGATTGTTTTGGTTGCTTTTTCTATACTTCTTCCAGTATAGAAATAGCTGCAATATCATTTTTGAGATCAAACAGTCAGAGCAATATACTGTATTACAAATACAACTGTGCCATTGATTTATAGGAAATGTCAATTTATTCCTGATTCCTGTTTTTAGGTACTTTCCTCTCCATAATAAGATTATCCTTCTTATTCCCTAATTGTTATTCTTTCTTTTTCTCACCTTTCTCATCATTCAAAGAACACTTCCAAATGTAAGATTAGCAGCCCCATAGCCAGAAATTTTGGGTTGGTGGGGCATGGGTAAATTTTGTGGGGCAGCAGGGGAGGAGGGAGGGGAAAGGGGGAGTAGTGGCTGCACACCTTCCCTGAACTCCAAGCGGTGATTTCACTGCTTGGAGTTCAGGTGCGGGCAGCCCCCGCTTGAAATATACCATTGTCCCCTTTAAATGTTTATTTCAAGTGGAGGCTGCCCGCCAGTGTTCCCTCTAAGCTGAGTTAGTGTGAACTAGCTCACAGTTTTGTAGCCTCTGGCTCACACATTTTTGTCTTGGCTCAGGAAGGATGGCTCCAGAGCAAACTAACATATGCAGTAGCCAAATCGTTCGCTCACAACTTTAATGCCAGTAGCTCACAAAGTGGAATTTTTGCTCACAAGACTCCACAGCTTAGAGGGAGCAATGCTGCCCGCACTTGAACTCCGAACAGTGAAATCGCTGCTTGGAGGTCAGGGAAGGCAAGCAGCCGGCATCTGCCCCTCTCCCTCACCTCCTACAAGATTTAAAGGACCTGCTGATCAGCTGGAGGACCCTTTAAATCTTGGAGGAGGAGAGGGAGAGCAGTGGCTGCAAGTTTTAAAGGGCCCTCCGGCTGAATGATGGGCCATGTGCTCTACCAATCAGCTAGAGGCCCCTTTTAATGTCACAGGAGGGGAGTGAGGGGAGAGGGGCAGCAGCTGTTGTAGGGCATGCCTCACATTTGAGGTGGCGGATGATGACCCACCACGATCCAGTTGTCTGTGGAGGTCATCTGTGAGAGTGACCAGTGCTGTCTCTGTCCCATGGCCAGGGCAGAAACTGGACTGGAATGGTTCCAGTGCTGAGGTGTCATCCAGGAAACTCTGGAGCTGCTTGGCTACCGGTCTCTCAATTATCTTGCCCAGAAATGACAAATTCAAGACTGGGCAGTAATTGGAAGGATCTGTAGGATCCAAGGAAGGCTTTTTCAAAAGCTGTACCACCACTGCCTCCAGGTGGACCTCTAAATCTAGGGACAGGTTGATAATGTCTACCAGGAGCCCCCGTATTCCATCACCACGGGCTTTCACCAGCCATGAGGGACATGGGTCTAAGAGGCATGTGGTTGGCTTAGTAGCACCATGTTACTGTCAACATCGGACCAGGTGAGCCACCTGAAGTTATCAAATATTGAAAGACAACCAAGGGGCCTCTAGTTCACATACTGTATCAATATTGGCCTGGAGATTGTGGCGAAGCGACAGGACTTTATCCACAAAAACCCTCATTTCATTCAGTGGTCTCTTGACATATAGAGCGAAACATCTGCCATTGCAACTATCTTTTCTCTAGATTTTATATATCCGTGAGTAACTGTATCCCATTTTTACCAGGTTTCTTTTCTAATACTCAACTTGACAGTGAAGCTTTCAGCAGCAAAATATAAACATTTGCTCCTCTGTCTGCATCAGATTCTTTGCTCCTGTTAGCTTTTCCCACAAGTCAGTTTAAAATCTGCTTTGTGATAGTTTGATTTTAATGGCAAGACGTTTTGTTCACTTTTGAGGTATCAGAGCTCAAGTCTTCAAATAAACCGTTTCCCAGTGCTTCTGCTATCCCTTTTCTCTATATTAGGAAACAGAAAAAAATACCTTATTGGTATTTTTCGGTAAACACTTCAGCCGAATACAGATCAGAGATCTATACTTGGCTACTAGTATAGCTGAGCCTGTAAAAAAGCTGATTTTTTGGGGGGGGCTTTTATTTGGGTGTGTTCAGCTATACTGAGAGCCAGTTCCAGCTGAGGCCATGCAGAGCTCTCAGCTCCACACTGCCCCAGCTGATCCGCAGCAAGGCTTGCAAAAGGCATTTAAAGGGAATGTGAGAACCCCAAATATTTCCCGAATACCAATACCATACAAACACTGGGATTCAGGAATATTGGGAAATACCAATATTTTTCTGGTTCCATAAACACGAACTCAAAAACTACCTTTTTTTGCACAACCCTAATTATGAGTGCATATTTTACCTCTGTGACCAGCCTTGCACCTGGTACTTATTTCTGATAATGTAGCCTTTGAGGTTCTGGACTTCAACATCCTACTTCACTGCTCATATTTTGCTTTTAAGACGTCACAAATATATTTTCAAAGTCACCAATATCAACATGTATCACAATAACCAACTATTGTTTGCATTATTACCTTTATAGTAGGCATTCAAGGCACCATGCCACAAACTCATCTCTTTACCACAGATTTAGTCTGTGAGCTAATGCATAGAAAGCAAGAGGTAAACCAGTGACCTATATCCGATTCAAAAAACACAGCATATTTCCTACACAAAAGACATATATCCATATATAATCAAATAATTAAGAGCAGCTGGATTTGATAGAGACTGATAAAATGAAAATATTATTTTCAAGCTACCCTAAACTGAAGTATTCCTAAAGTACCATACTAAGGATCCTGTATAACTTCTGACTCCAGAAGTGTTACAGTATAACATGATGCCCCTTTCAATTCTTATTTTTTCTTATTTAAAAAGTCCTTATAATTCAGCAGAATCAGAGTCTAGAGTGGTGTTATAATAGGCCATCTATTCCAATCCCCCACTCAGTGCAGGAAATCACAACTAGAGCATTCTCAGCAGATAACTGCATGGCCTTTACTTGAGAAATTCCAGCAAGTGAGAGCCCCCACCCCAGAACAGTTTCAATTGGCAAATGGGTCTTACCATTAGGAAATTTCTCCGAATGTTCAAATGAAATCTGAGATCTAACCCCCACCACCACCACCTCAAAACAGCAAAGAACAAGTCTATGTGACAGACCTACAATCATGTTCTGCGGTCTCCCTGCTGCAGGCTAAGCATAACCAGTTCATTTAACCTTAACCCATTCATGAGTTTGAGTGCCTTCTGTGAGCAGTTCATAGCTATAACCCAAAGTGTTCTACAGTTAAGCTATTATCGCTCTGAGTCAAATAGCAGCACTGGTACTATTGTGAATATTATGTACTATCTGTTGTATTATCCTACTGTGTAATTTCCACATCATTTAACTTGTTAATACTTATGCTTTGTTTCAGATTCCTGCAATTCTAATCCTATTACACTGTTTATTGGATGCCCCACCATGATTGTACTGATTTATATTGTGTAATCCATTTTGAGTCTCAGTGATAAAGGCAGACGATAAATAACACAAATAAATAAATAAATATATTTTCTGATAATAAAAATTTCTTTGTGACTCTAATGTTAAAGCCATGCATATTCCCTTGCTAGCAGTGTTCCCTCTAAGCTGAGTTAGTGTGAGCTAGCTCACAGTTTTTTAGCCTCCAGCTCAGAGATTTTTGTCTTAACTCAGGAAGGATGGCTCCAGAGCAAACTAATTTATGCAGTAGCCAAATAGCTTGCTGACATCTTTATTGCCAGTAGCTCACAAAGTAGAACTTTTGCTCACAAGACTCCATAGTTTGAACATTGCTTGCTAGTATAAAAATAATGAAAATTAGAAATAAAGTTTTGCACCTAATGATGCTCCAAATTAGGAATAAATCCACAAGACAAAAAGAAAGAAGCATGTCTACCAATAGCAAGCTGTAGTTTGTCATCACAGGAACAAGCCTTGGAAATCCTCAGACTTATGCACATGCTTCCCCTCCCCCCACTTCCCTTCATGGAGAGATTAGAAATTATTCATTTTCACTCTCATAGTAAGCCACATTGCCATGCACAAACCAACGTAGATTTGCTCTCTTGCCTCTACAAAAAGATTCCAAACCAGGATTAAACTGTTGTTTGGAATCCTTGTTTGGAGGAAGAGAAAAATCAGTTTGCAGGTCAGACACAGAAAGCCAGTGTGGTGGAGCAGTTGCAAGTGTCAGACTACGCTCTGCAGACCCAGGTTCAAATCATCACACTGCCATGGAAGCTTGTTCAGTGACCTTGGGCCAGTCTCGGCCTAACCAACCACACGGATTGATGTGAAGGTAAAATGGAGAATGATATAAGCCTCTTTGGGTCGCCATTGGAGACAAAGGTGCGGTATACACTAAATAAATAGCAAGAAACTATTGTTTCCTAGAAAAATGGCAATGATTAAATTCTGAGCTAATGCAAAGGGAAGCAGAAATGAGAATGGAGCTAATACACAAGCCTAGTGATTTTCAAGGCTAGTTCTGTTATCTGCGTAAGCAACATCTCAGTTCCGTAAGAAAGCTGGGCAAAAAGACAATGTCTCCAAGAGGTATTCCCTACAAAATATCAGTGTATTGAATTTTACAATGGTAAACAGTGGCTGTAAACCATGGCTACCAGCAATTTCAGCACAAATTGTTCAAAAAATACAAGCAGCTGATTGATGAGCCTTTTGCTTGTAATGTTATCTGCATTATCCCCTGCACCCAACACAGTGTCATTGTCTCTTGATGGATGTTGCAGATAAGAACTAATTAGGACAGAAAGATTACACCTAAGAATATTCAGCAACAAAAAAGAAGAAATACAATGATCCACAAGATTAGTATTTAGGGTTTTTATTCTACTTTCCTAAAATACATATATAGTCCAAAAATATTCTTGATCAGTTAAAAGTCACAGCACTTACTAGGTCTCTGTGAAGCACCCAGTTTGCATGAAGATAATGGATTCCATCAAGAATCTGATAAAGTAGTGATTTGACCATAGATCTTGGCAACTGCATGGGTTTTTTGTTAGCTTTTGAGGCACGGTGGAACTTGATAATATGCTGGAAATAAAGAGAACATAAACATGAAAGTATCTTGACATAATTACATTCTCAAATGATGACACTGTAAGACAAAATAACCCCTTATTAAAATGGTAGAGAAGACTTCAAGTATATATAAACATACACCTTTTGATGAGACATGAGGAAATGAAAATGTAACATGATGAGGCAGAAGCTATTTGGATTGAAACAGATTTTCCTTGCCAACATTCCTCTAGTTTCCATGCCATCACTGCATGATTTTAAAGCAATTTTATGGTAATTTGGGCATTCAAGTTCTCAAAGAAACAGATTCTGGAGATCTACACTGAATTCCTTATTCTTACCATATTATAGAAACCTGACCAGTTTGTGGTTTTAAATTTTGCTTATATAAAATGCTGAGAATATACAAATACAAGCATAGACCTGCAAGAATCACAGCTTTGCCATGGCGGCAGCCCCCTACCCCCCCCCCAACTCTACGTTTGCTGCCTCAACAATGGTGACAATGACAGAGGCAGCTCCCCTCAATCCACCTGACACTGCTGAGGTTCCATACTCCCCCCCTCCCACTGTCAATACTGCCAACCCTGGCACAGCTCCTGGCATGGCTCCTGTTCTCACTACTGCTGCACACCAGGCCAAGTGTGGCTCTCTGTCCCCTATCACTGCTGCCACCTCTTCAGCCCCACCATGGCTCCTTGTGAAGTCAGGGATGGATGGAGGGTTGCAGTAACTAAACTGGAGTCAGGAAAGATGGGGAGCTGCAATCATTATTGCTGCCTTCACTGGGGCTGGGCAAGATGCCACTGCAGTGAAGCTGGGGCTGGGCAGAATGTCACTGCAGCAAAACTTCTCCTCCCACCTCCAGTCAGAGTGCCCAGCTGAAGTGAGCAGTGGTCCAACAGAGAAGCATTGTCTGCACAGCGCCGACAACTCTCCTCTATTTAGGATTTAATTTCCCCACATATACATCATCATTTTTTCACTGGTTTTTAGTTTTTTCTGCAAATCTGTGGGAGCAAGTTTGCAGAAGAAACTTCCTGCTTCCCATCTGGCTCTGATCCATGATTTGCAAACTGGCATATACAGAGCTATTAAATATATTGATGGAATTCTTCCTATTTCAGTATTTATCATTGACTGTAAAAAGAAAGTTGAGACTAGTTCACAAGGCAGAGCAGGTGCAACAGCTCTGCTCTTGATACAAACTCTCTTTCCCCAGGCATTCACTCACTTCCATTTAGGCAACGGAGCTGCAGCAAGAGGGGGAAATTATGTAAAATCATCTGTTTTGCTCTTAGGCAATAGGCCCAAGCTCAATCATAGCAAACTGTTCAGGAAAGCCCACCCAGACTGCTTGGGGGTGGGCAGGGGAAAGATCTGCTTTTGTGATCTTCTGTTCAAAGGAGTTTGGATCCAACCCAAGAACTTATGGAATAATAAGATAATATAGTGCCTAGTCATACATAGAATGCATTTCTCTCATCACTGAGGTTTGGTGGAAATGCAACACTAGCTTGCTTCAAACAGAAATTTATATATTAGGAGCCAGCCTCAAGAATCTGCACTCAATCCCTGTCCCTCCTCCTCTGCTCCCTGGCACAAATAGTCAGCTTTCAGCCACAGTTAGTATCACATTAGCATTGATGTTAACTAAGTACCCCTTACCCCCCTATGAAATTGTTAGTCCCTTGTGTGAAACCGTGTAACTGTAAATCGCTCAGAGCCAGCAGCTCTGCCGGATTGAGCGATCAATAAATTGAAAGGTATTATTATTAATAATCTCAGTTTCAAATTCTAGTTAAGATAAGAACTGTGGACAGTTTGTATTGTGGTTAATAACTGCGTGGCCCATTGCTTTGCCCCGGCGGTGCTCCAGGCAGTATTGGCACCCCGCCAGGAAAAGGGACCACCGTAGCACCCGGGGAGACATGACTTCTGGTGTTTGCTTGTCGGCAGCCAGGAGGCCTAAAAGGGGCTTATGGTCTGTCACAATCATGAAGGGGCGCCCATATACGGAAGTTGTGGAATTTTTTTTACCCCTGCCACAATCGCCAACCCCTCCCTGTCGATCTGCGCATAGTTGCGCTCCGTGGCCGTCAGCGTCCGCGAGTAATAGGCTACGGGGACCTCGCGGCCATCAGGGAGGATGTGGCCCAGAACTGCGCCGACGCCATAGGGGGAGGCGTCGCACGGCAGGACAACTGGGAGGGATTCATCAAAGTGGGCCAACACATCATTTGAAATCAGAAGCGCTTTCACCCCCTGCCCCCTCCCTCGGACCCCAAGTCCACGGGGCCGACTTATCCAGGACCTGGTGTAGGGGTTCCGCTACCGCAACCTTGTGGGGCAAAAAGGTGTGGTAAAAATTTATTAGTCCCAAGAATGCCTGAAGTTCAGCTTTACACGTGGGGGCGGGAGCCTCCAACAATGGCCTTTACTTTGGCCTTCGCTGGGTGCAGACTGGTAGCGTTGACTCGGAACCCCAGGAAGTCCACCTCCGGAACCCCGAGGAGGCATTTCTCTCGTTTCACCTTGAGTCCAGCCGAGTCAAAACGCTGCAGGACGGGGCGAAGACGGGAGGCAAATTCGTTGGGGGTCATGGTGGCAATCAAGACTTCGTCGAAGAACGGCATCACTCCAGGGATCTCTTTTAACAAGGAATCCATTAGTTGTTGGAATATTCCCGGGGCAACGCTCACCCGAATTGTAATCTCTTGACCTTGAATGCTCCCCTGTGGGTGACTATGGCCTGCGCGGTCGCCGTGGCCTCGTCTACCGGCAGCTGTTGGTAGGCTTGTGTCAGGTCTAGTTTCCCAAAAATCTTGGCCCCTGCCAGCAAGGCCAGCACGTGGCTAACGACCGGAACTGGGTATGAGTGGTCGTGCAGGGCCTTATTGCTCATGCACTTATAGTCCACGCAGATGCAGACCTCGCCGTTGGGCTTCAAAGGGTTCACAATGGGCGTTTCCCATATGGCGTGGGGGACGGACTCTAAGACCCCTTGCACTACCAAGCGGTCCAGCTCCGCGTCAATCTTTGGACGTATGGTGAGCGGGGCTGTGTGGAACCGCATGCGGATTGGGGCCCCCTTGGGGTCTAACTGTAAGGAAACTGGGGGGCCCTTGTCACAACCCAAAGCCCCATCGAAAACAGCCAGGAACTCCCCACAAACCTCTGAAAAGTCTCTCAACCCGCATTTAAGCACCCCCCGACCCCGACTGTGATGCCCAGCCGCGCAAACCAGCCCTGCCCAGAAGACTGATCAGATTTCCCTCGACTACTATCCAGTCCAACAGTCCCTCGAATCCCTGGAACTGTACCCGGAACGACCCCACTCCCTGGATAGGGACTGGTTTTTTTTGGAAGTCTACCAAGCTCAATTGGGGTGGGCGCAAGCAGGGACCCCATTTGGGCAAAGTCTGCGTAGCGTGTCCACAGAAATAATGAACGCCGCAGACCCCGAGTCCACTTCCATTGTGCAGGGGGACCCTTCGATCAGTACCGTTAGTTGAATCTTCGGGGTCGACTCTACTTTCGGGAGGTGGAGTACCTGCAGCGAGGGCCAGGCCGTGAGGAGGTAGAGGTCGGACGTCTCTGCATCCATTTCGTGGGATTCGGCGGCCAGGCAGCGTGGCTGCGCGGAAGGCTGCTGGTACCGGCTTCTCTTTGACCGGCAGACACGAGCGAGATGGCCTTGTTTCCCACATGTGTGGCACGTCGCATCGCGGAAACGGCAAGACTTGCGCTCATGTGCCTCGCCACAGCTGGTGCACGAGGGCCGCCCTGTGAGTTTCCGGGTTGATCCGGATGCCTCAGAGCCCGGTGGCCTCCGGCGCGATGGCTGGTGGAGGAGCCGGATGTCTTCTTCTTCTGAGTTCTCGGGGCCTGAGTCGGGGAGTACGAGGCGAGCTGCTGCTGGCTGACGATCATGGTGCGAGGCCTTGTGGGCGATGGCGAGTTGGAGTGCAACATCAAGTGTGATGTCGGCGGTCCCGATCAACCTTCGCAGCTTCTGGTCGCTGATGCCCCACGCGAATTCCACCTTAGTGAAGGTGCAACCCATGGCCAGTTGCCACAGGGCTGCCAGAAAAGCCGCGGCTGTCTCGCCCGTTTTCTGGATCCGGGTCTGGAACTCGATGCGCTTGGCGAGTGTGGTTGGCCGGGGCGTGAGGTAGCTCGTTAGCGCGTCGATGATCTCCTCGTACGAGCACTCGAGGATTGATCGAGGAGCGAGGAGGCTCTTTGCGAGGCGGACGGTATTCACCCCACATGTGCTTAGGAGAAGGTTTCTTCTTTTGCCCGGATCGGATACATCATTGTAGGCTCGATGGCACATCAATTGGTCGCTCCACAAGTCCCAGAGCTCGGGGTGCGCTGGATCGTAGGTCTCCAAGTTTTCCCCAGCAGAGGCCATGGCGAAGTGTTTGCGAGGAGAGGGGTTCCTTGCGGCGATGCGCTTGCGGAGCTGGTGTCAGCAAGCTGCCATTCTGTTTTCTGTGACCTCTGTGTACATATCCTTACCCTGTTGCACCCGGCTTGTTTATACTATCCTGCTTCTGTGCTGGAATGCATAAGATAACTACTGGTGGATGTGTGGGGGAGAAGATGCTGTAATGCTTGCCTATTGCTATCTCATGAGAACTGCACCTGTGTTTTGTCTGATGTTCTGCCTGGTTCCCATGGACTGGGCGCGCAACCGTTTCATTAGGCCGCCAGCGGGAATATTATTCATTGGATATGTATCTGTTTGAATTTCCTTTATTATGCTCGCCCTAACTGTGTATCCCCAGTTCTAACAAAGAACGTGTTTGAGTGTGTCTTCAACGCTTTGAAATAAATTTTGCTTTTCTTGAAAACGTGGATTTATTCTCGATGCTTGGGGATCCAACATATTGTTAGAACTCCCTTTCTCCTATCGTTCCGAATCTGGCAAGATCATGAGCGGAGCTGAGGGAGACCTACCGAAAACGGAGGGGGATTCAGGATCGGTCCCACACACCTCCGCTCCT